AAATTACACTTTATCAGGTAAACCATTTTCTTAATACTGCACCCATTAAATACTGACTCATATGTGCATACAATCTATTCCCAGGCTTAAAAATATATGCTTACTACAGACTAAGCAAGTAACTCAGGTAAAAATGTTTCATTCCTGTATTGTAAAAAGCCCCTGGTTTTGCACAGCATGAACTACTGAACAATACTCAGATTGAAGCAGGGCTTAAAGAAATTTTTATAGTGTTCTCAAATCAGAGAGAGAGAGGGAGAGAGATTATCCTGGGAGGTGAGTTCACTGTATTAGATTCCTAGGTCATTTTTCATTTGGAGCAGACACACACTTTACAGTTAGAGAGCTAGAGCACAGCAGCTCTTCAGATACTAGTATTAGCTCCAGGAATGCAGTTGCAAAAGGGACCGAGATCATTCAAAGCATTTGAAAAGGTTAGGATCTGACTTCCTGTGAGATTACTGATGTTGCGGGTTTTTATGGTTTACCTTGAATTTTTACTACTTATGCAGAAGTGATCAACTAGGTAGCTCAACAGTGAATGAGATGTCAAAGTATGAAAACTCAGCTTGTAAGAGCTGCCGAAAGATCCTTTGCAAGCATGACTGACAATTAATGCCAGTATTACATAGGATGGAGTAAACTACCAAACTGTAAATGTTTCACAAAGTATGTGTGCCGCATGTCACGCATACTAAGCCTGGCATATGTGAAAGGTGTTTTACATGTGCAGACACAGACACAGAAAAAACCAAATCCATTTCTAAATAGAAAGCATGCAAGAAAAACAACTTCTTAGACATTTTTGCCAGTATTGACTTACACTGTTTAAAACCATGACTCAGTGAGAATCTGTCTGTGAATGGCTTTTAAACTGTTAAGGTAAGAAACTAAACTCAGAAACCTTGACGCTGTCATGTTGAGCGCCCCTTATTTTGGCTCCTGCTCTACAACCTGCCTATCCTTTTCTTTTTAACAGTTCATTGCTAAAAACTTAGACACAGCATTTGGAGCACAAGCTGTAGTGAAGGGCTCCTACTCCTCCCCAATGTGATCATCTCTGCACTATGGAATAAGGGTACCTCTTGCTTTGTACCTTCCTCTCTCCTAGAAAATCTCAGAACGACAGAATGGTTGAGGCTGGCAGGTCAACAGGTCTGGAGGTCAACTGGCCCAACCTCCTGCTCAAGCAGGGCCACCTTGACCTGGACCACACCCAGATGCCTGCTGAATTACCTCCAAGGATGGAGACTCCACCACCTCCCTGCGCAACCTGTGCCAGTGCTCGGTCACCCTCACAGTGAGAAAATGTTTCCTGATGTTCAGAGGGAACCTCCTGTGTTTCAGTCTGTGCCCATTGCCTCCGGTCCTGCCACTCGGCACCACTGAAAAGAGTCTGGCAACATCCTCTTTGCACCCTCCCTGCAGGTATTTATGTACCTTTGTATTGTTTTCTGCTCAATAGCCCAGCTACAGCATGACTGAGTGGCAAAATCATAGAGTTTCTTTTAACTCATGATCAGTATTATTTTCTAAGGGCTAGAATACTGGATTCAATTTCCCTCAAACTGAGGAAGCAATTAAACTCAGTTCTTCTTTTTTGGGGCACCTGTTCTAAATACTAGGTAGTAGGAAACACTATCCACCAAGCACTTGCAGTAAATCTTTTAGATCCTTCTTCAGAGGTCAGTCCAGATACCTAGTATGTGAAGCCCACAGCTTCAGCGGAGCGATAAGGCCATAGTTACTCAGCTCAAAAAAACCTGTCAGGGTTACTGGGCATGCAGAGACAGACCTTCAGGCAACTAAGCAAAAAAGTTAGGTGCTAAGTTTTTGACTCATTGTTTTGTTAAACACTCAAAAAAGAGATTCAGGCACCGAAGTTCCACTTAAAATTAAGGGTGGGGACATAAATCCCTTTCTGAATCTGAGCCTCACCTCTTTCTCTCAAATATGCCTAATAACCAGAGATGCACACTTCAGCACTGATAATTAAACACAGCAGACCACACAAGCCCAGAGGAGCCCTGGCAGTTCACTGCTCCTAAGGATCAGGCACAAACACTCCTGAGTTTTGTTCGGAATTTGACAGTGTGACAGGTAACAGACTGCAGGAATAACAGCACTGCTGGAAGAGAGGCCATACCCAGCTCTTCCCTGCCCACACACCCCAAGCAGAGCTTGTCCTGTGCAGATGCAGAAGACCCATGCCCTGAGAGCCCTGCCAGCCAGCCCACAGCTCCCAGGGGAGAGACACGTAGGACTTCACAGGACTATCCTGACCAGTGCCCCATGGGTCATTATCTGGGGTTTTTTTTGTATTTAAAAGGGAGACTGTTTGCCTTCCCGCTAACTCCTCTCGATTCCTGGGGTTCCAAACTCTGTGTCACCTGGAATCCTTGTTCCAGGTTCATCAGATTATCAGGGTTTGTTAAAATTAATTACTGGGCAACACTCTCTGACCTTTGTCAGCAGAAGATCAGATGGTCCTGAAGTTAAGGGCAGGATAAACTGTTGTTAATGATTACTAAATGTGTTCCTCTATCCAATGCAATACACACTCTCTTAAAAGCTGGAAGGGAACTTCTGGTTTACGTACCTTTTCACCGGGGAAGGTGCAATAATTTTGGTAGTTCCTTCATTTTCCCCATTTGTTGTAATCTGGCTCATGTTCTTAGATTCTGAAAAAAAACACACAGAACGGTCCTGTAGCATATAGGCTTGCACACCTATTCAGCATAATCACCTACTGAACACAGCTCAGCATCAGATATAAAATGGTACACAAGACATTTCATGCATGCTGTACTTGCTAAGGGTGTATAAAGATCACACCTTTTGTGTCTTATCCTTACTTCTAGTTATAACACATCACAAGAAAGTTTAACATCAGGGACATTCATTCCTCTTCCACATGAGACAGAGCAGTTTGAAGCTGTTGTTCTCAAAGGGATACTATGCCATTGCCACCAGAAGGGTATTCTGCTCAGTCACCAATAACAAAGGTGTGATGGGAATAAAGGCTATGAAAAAGCTTGGGAATCTCCAATGTAATAACTATGGCGTGTAAAACAATCATTAGGTTAGATGGTAAAGCAAGATGAGTATGTCTGTTCTAAGAAATCATTTCAAAATGATGTAGCAGCACAGTGCAACACAATGCTAATATATCCTAAGTTATGACCAGGAAAATAGTAACTGTAAATCAATGGATTAGAAAACTATTAATGTAAACAGAGAGACACAATAAAGAGTAATATTCTGACAGAGACAGCTAAGCATCAGTTTCAATGAAGTCAGAAACTTTTGGCCAATATTTGACAGTTATCTGCCCGGTTTCCAATTTTGTGCCCAATAATCTTTCCATTTTGATCCTGCACTTTTCACCCTGTTGGCACCTGAGCTATGAAAGGGAACCTGAAGAAACACGAGGAACATGCACTTTCCCTCTTTTTGAGTCCCCATATAACAGGTTTCTAGGAAACAGATTTGTGTATTCATAATTTAAGAGCACTGAGGGCCAAGAGAATCTGGATATTTCATACTGGGTTAACATCAAAGTGTCATGATAAGATTAAACTCTACAGATGTATACAGCTCAGTATCATGAACAAAAAAAGAACTGATCTGTTCAGCTTGGTATATAGTAATATATTAATCATCAAGACAGATTTGTTCCTACTGGTGCTATAATTTTAGTTTTCATGCTGTGCTATTAATATTAATCTGTAACTTTTCTCCAGTTCAGACATTCTATTTCCACCTAACTGGCAATTTCAGTAATTTCTTACAAAATTGTTACCACCTCCAGAAACAGATGTTAAGTAAAACAACAAAGCAACACCACAGATGATGTACATCAACTCTGGACAGGACTCTGAGCATGTTCATTGAAGATAATGAAACAGATTGACTGAAGCCTATAAGACTGTTAACAGCGAAATACTATGTCCTCTGGGCCCAAGCAACAGCATCATAGTGGTGTTAATATAGTGATACAAACCCAAAGCCTTTTTGTTTAGCTAAAACTAAAATGTAGTATCTCAGATTAAGCTGTGGCAAGATTTTTCGTTATAAGGCTTCTCCACAATCTCAGAGAAAGAATTTCTCCACAACCTCCCTCAACTTTCCATACCACCCCTTTGACACACAAAGTCTCTGGACTCTCCTCTACTTGAACACAAATACTTGAGATATCCTAAGGCATTTTGCCTCGCCATCAATTGCCTCTCCTACAAGTTGAATCTGCTAGTCTTCTGCAGATGCCTCATACGCTGCAGAGGATCTCAAGTGCTTTGCTCAAGCGACTCAGCCAAGCCCTTCACGTGTTTGATCTTACCACTTTTAATGATGTAGTTTACTCCTTTACCTACTTAGTTTTTCAGACTAATGCCTTGTAGGAGAGGGGAGCAGCCTGGGACCTGTCTTGTACAATATCTGCTCCTTCAAGGCATTTTTTGTGGTTTACGGTAGCATAAGCACTAGGAGGAATTTGGAATAATCTGAAGAAGGAAATGCAGCGTGGGTACAGATTCACAGACAGAAAGGAAAGGAAAGTTTTGGCATTCTGAACAAATCCTGTATTTTATGCAAGAGACAACCATCTCCACGCTCTCTGAAGTACTGCACAACTGCCCATGCAGTTATTTTCTGTTTTCAAGGATGAAGCAATAGCTACACTGCCACTACCACCTGCTTAGTAAAAAGAAAGAATTACTGAACTAAAAACCTCCTTGAATTAATGTGGATAAGAAAATGATCAGCAAAAGAACCACCGATCTTCATTAACGCTATAAAAGACCGCTACAAAAATTCCTCCTCTAACCCCTAAAAACAGAAGGATGCCTACAGTCAAAAATCACAAATAAATAGATATAAAGATGACAGCACATAAGAATGAGAAGCAGAAATTTCCCACCTTTAAGGAAGGTACTAGTAGTGAAACGAAAATGGTGTAGGTCAAAGTGCTAAACTACAAGGATATCTCAGGGTTTCTGATCATATTTTTTTGCATGCAGATACATTTAGCTTCCCTCTCCTAGGCCACCAAATACACAAGACAAAAATAACCCGCTATAACAACTTGGCCCACAGAAGTACTGAAATCAGCAAAGATACAACTTTTCAAACAAAAGAAATAATTTCAGTACTTCACGTACTACTGTGTAAGTGAGGTAGCTTCCAATTAAGCTCATAACGCAATGGAGCAGTAAGAACTCATGCTCCAAAACATGTCATAGCTATGAAAGAACTGCCAGAAGAAGAGCCACGGGTCCAGTGCTACAAAAGTGATAGCCACCTCCAGAACTGATCCTTTGTTACATTTGGCAATAGCCTTACCATTCTGCTGACACCCAGTCGTCTCCGGGTGTCAGGTGATGCGGGGTGATGGGATGCAGAGTCAGTCCACCCAAGTGCAGAAGGTCTGTGATGCCTCTGCAACTCCTTCAGTACCCTGCATGAAGGCTGGTGCTGCAGAGCCTACGTGGGCAACATCAGCTTTTGGAGCAGCCAGAACTAGTAAATCCTTAAAAAAGAAGCAGCTCCTTCTCACTGTTGAGTTCCCTGGTTACCACTCTACTATTTTAACATGTACTTAGTTGAGGGAAAACCAAAGAAAAGACAACATACCACAGACTACTACACATAGGCAGACTCTACCCAGTAACACAAAATAGGTTTCTACTGAGACAAGACCTCGTATTAGCTGTGTTTGATTCCACCGCTGCCCATGAGGACCTTTGCTTTACTTTTAAAAAGAAAACTCTTACTGTACAATTCTTTTGTACAAATAACTAGCTTAATTAGGAGCTTTCTGTCCTCACTTACAGAACCTGTAATTGTCTTTAAGTATGTTCCACCTCATGTATCTTTTACTAACTACAGTACTGTTCTACCAACATACACCTCTGTATGATACGAAATCCCTAATATAAAAGAACAGACTTCAGAAAAACTGTCCAAACACTAACCTCATTGCAATAACTTATCTATACGACTGTTTCTTGCATGCCAAGGTAATAGGCCTCTCAAAAATACCTTAGATAGTCAGAAATCTTGAACATCTTACTTGTAGCAGGTTTCCCTGGTTGTTTATCTTTTGCCAGATAAGTTATTGTTAGCATTCACTGCACTGAACTTTTCCAATAAGGTGAATGCATGCAGTTCGATTCCCTTTTACAACCATCTTGATGCTGATTTGTGCATTCAAATAGACTATTACATTTTTAAAAACTCAAATGTCCAAAACCTGAGGAGTCTGGCAAGCTAATTAGCTTGTCATGCCTGTTCCTTATCAACTAAAGCCACTTCACTAATGTTATCTGGAAGTAGTGTTTGTATTTAAATCTAGTAATGAGAGGAGAAGATAGCGTGATCAAAAGGAAAACAAGCAGTAAGAGCTCACGCTTCGCACTGTGTGTTACTAACAGCCTATAAATATGAATGGACTTCTGTATGTCTACACTAACATAGCCTACTCTGTGATAATCCTTATTTTCCAAACTAGTTTCCAAACCTGTAGCCTCAAGGGTTTGTGTATCTCACACCACATGCATGAAACGCAGAAGCAGTCACATCCATCCTTTTACAAATCCTGGGATTTAAAATAAACTTTAACATGTAAGGCTCAAAGTAAATAAATAAGTAAATAGATAAAATTACCCCAAGATTCATTCTCTAAAATTTAACTTTCAAACCCAATCTCACAATTTTCTAGGAAAAGATTAATGACTTTAAATGCGCCAGATCAACAGTTCTAGCTACCATGACTGAAGTTGGCAAAGCAGGGTAATGATAGGTATCTCTGGTAATATGTAAGTGTTAGTCAGGGTAGTGACTTTGACTGCCTCTGACTGCTCAGGGACTATTACAATACAGACAATACTGTAATTTTAATACCCCGTACCAATTCTACACCTGGCTTTTAAATCACAATGGTAGCACTCACTTTACACTAGTTTACGCAACTACCCAGCATCCAAGGCAGGGACAAATCAAGTCCTCAGCTACCAAACAACAAGAAACTCTAAGCAATGCGTTTTCCACTACTGAAAAAACTCAGACCACAGCAACAGGTCTGGTCACATCAATGTTTGTCCAGAGAGAACATTCTCAAGGCACTTTCCACATGCAGCATTCAGCCAAAAGAATGATGAGAGATCATGTTCCATGTTTGAGTTTATGATTTGCAATCAGAACAAAATGCAACTGTAATTCTCTCTCAGCTGAAATGAAATGGGAAGAATAAGCAATCGAAACAAGATATGCGTATCTCACATATAAGACTTTACAGGACAAAACAAAAAAACCCTTCTGCAACTGAATACCAACTTGCATGCCAACCCAAACATACACACACACAAAAATACACTAATATAAAAACACTGATTGCATAGCCATTGAAGTTTCCTGATTTTTCCACTAACCCTAGAACAACCGATACACAAAACATATTAAGTAGGTGACAAAAGGGAGGTTACTGCATTTTGAACCACTGTAATCTGGATTCTAGGAAAATAATCTGCCATGCTAAAGCCAAACTGTCTGCACTGTCTATCCTGTCAGGGGAATCAGACAATGGCAGTGACTGGTTTTTTAATACAAGAAAGCTAGTTCCTCTCTGTTTATAGTATCATTTCCTTCAATACCTCTCTTAAAGCACAAATATTTTTACTGAAAACATAAAAGTCAGTATTTTCTATCATTGTCTTGGTACCCACTCCAATTCTTAACCCAGAGCTCACCAAGTGGCTTCAGTCCTAATGACTTTAGCGTACTTTAATGGACCAACGAGACAAAGAAACATTATTAGTCCCTCAGCTCGCCAAAGATAGCTAACCTCTACCTTCAGGTGACAGAAAAATATAATCTAAAAAAGACAGACTATGTAACTGCTTATACCACCAGAATACACACAAAAAGAAGCAACAAGGGAAAACTTTTTAACGAGATGATAGATGTTAGAGGCTTTAGCACTTCACACAGACCTCTAAGATGGAGGCAATGCAGACTGCATATGCTACAGCCATGCATTTGTAGCTACTGGTTTATCTAATTGCCCCCAAAACCACTGCTGTGGCTGGTCTCATTACTGTCTTACTATCTGTAAGTTGTTACCGGGCTTTAGGAGAATAAATGGAACTCTGATTTTCATTCCGAAAAGCTAACTATATATATACACCAGTCAAAGAGACCAAAAAAAATCAACAAGCACAACACACACCCTTGCAGCAATATAGACTGACTTTCACTGCCTGCACTGGCAAATGTTATTTTCAACTAAGGGCTGAGGTTCAGCTGAGAAGTTTATCTCTGAATAGCCACACAATTTTCTGCACAACTGAACTGGGGACTAACAAGGTGGGAAATGCTGTTCATCTTGGAACTACCACCCTAACAACAGGACAGCCCAGCTGAACAAAAGTCTAAGTCACTAGGTTCAAGGGTGAACAGCTTCTTGTTCTCTTAGGCACCCATTGACAACTGCAGACACAACAAAAAGATACCATAATCACAAAGCAAAGCAATTCTTCTCTTCTTACACTTAACTAAATAAAATAAAATAGAATAAAATTAAAAAATCTGTTGTAAACTGCTTGTATTTTCCAAGGGCAATTCTTTTAATTACACTACACTTCAAGACCCACTGCAGTTAAAAGGCAGAACACACCAGCTTTGTTTCTGAGTCAACAGATGGCATTCAGAATAAACATGGGAGGTTTCCAGATGTATACACCTGCTCTCTTTTTAAAAATGGCAACTCTCAAAAGTTTATAATGCCATACTAACCCATGATAAAGAGAACTCTTGCTTACATTTTAAAGCCCAGACAAGTTTTTTTTTCTCAAACTGCTAACATACATGCATACACACTTTACTTCATGCATGAGTTCGACTGAAATCTGCATGACTGCTGTCAGAGATGAAGCTAACCGTACACATGTAATCACATGCAGAACTGGAGCCTGACATTAGAAAAGCTTTTTGCCTCTATTACTAAATTTCAGGAAACATCCATTATTTGGGGCATGACTCCTGTGATCCACGCTTAATCTTATACACTTACTCTAACACCTGTAAAAACTTCCAGCTTCCCCTGGCATCTTCGGCATGCAGAATAGATTTCCAGCTCACACTTCTGAAGCATGTTAAAATTGCAGAGGGCATGGCACTAACTTCTGTTCCACTTAATATTAAAATAAAGGGATACTGCCCTTGAACTGGGAAGAGGATGTACAAGAGAGACACCTGGGGTCAAGCAGCTGGAACAACGGGGTACCAACCAAGACACATGGGTATAAAATTCTTTATCAAGAGACAGGACTCCTGAAAAAAACACGTTCTCACTGCCTGTTTTCAAACTTCCCTTTCATACTTTACATTAGACTTACAAACGTGGGGGTTTATGATGTTTGATCCATACCATCTCTTTTACTTTTTCCCACAAAGTTAGAGTGTTTAGATCCAGTTAAGATCAGGTGTAAATACTGACCTAAAGCAAAAGAAAGAATCCATTCTCAGAGATCCCTAAGGGCACTGCAGCAGTTCTGAGTCATCTCTTGAAAACAAAATGAACCAAAGACCAAAGAAGACATCTCTCCACAGGCCCAGCAGAGAAAGACTTACCTGTCTGTTGTGTTCTTTTGGGATACGTCTTGCTGCGACTTCTCTCAATGCACTGGTCAGGCCGTGGGAGCTGCACAGAAGGGTCCCTGGACATTTGCAAAGATGTCCTGCCACTTGAAAATGCAACAAAATCATGGGAAAACACTTGCAAAAATTATCAAAGAAGCAGAGGATCTTTAGACTGAAAAAAACGCATGGGGTTTGGGCAGCATGTTTTGTTAGCCATTCACTTCTCATCCCAGCCCTGGTTCTCCTGCTGAGTAGCACTACCTTGACTTTTGTTTTGAACCAGTCACTGGCAGAATCATCAACAGGTTGTGCCAACCTCTTCTATATTTCGCATTTTCAAGAGGAGCTAAGCAACTAAAACAAAATGCTGGTTTATTAGGAATAGGCCAAGATAGTGTGCCCTTTTGTAACCTCAAATATTCTAACATATTACTTTCTTAAGTCATTACTTCCTGAATTCTTTCTGTAAGTTTTCATCCCAGGAAAACACATATTTAACATTGTTCAGTTCCATTTGGTAAGAGGTTACTTCTCTGCATGTGGAAGGACAACCTAAAGGGCATGGAAAATCCTGTGCAAAGCAAAATGTAATAACGTACTCTCACAAGAACAGGTCCAAAGGATAATAAATTGAGTAGAAGTCCTGATTCCTGTTTACAGTAAAGTTCTTCTTCATTGCATAATTTAAATAAGTTATTAAGTTTAAATAAATTCTTTTATGCTCATTTTAATGTTCCTCTCCATGTGACAAAGCAGAACATAGTGTTCACAACAAAAATGTAAAACAGGCCTCACATTCCCGCCCAAAACTCTGTGTTTGCTTCTGGAAACTTACTACACAAGTAATTGCTACTATTAAGTCCCAGTTGATTAAACACCTGCAATTTGATGACTTAGCAGTAAACAAGTATCATTTACTTCTAGCAAGTGCCACTAGCAAGTGCCAACCAACTACACAGGCATTACATACAGAGATTTTCTGATTTATGCGAATAGACTCCGCTAAATACTGACTGTATTTTCACCAATAGCCCCACAGGGGTAGTCAGCACTGCAGAATTTTTATCTTCGTAAAAGAATTAAAAGACAAAAATCCCTGAATTCTAACATTATATCACAGTAATGCTGGGTTTTGATATTTGGTTTAATGTTTTTTTGGCTTCCAAGTTAGTGAGAAAACACTTCAGCTCAACTTTTAAGCTCAGCAACCATGCCAGTCTTGCAAATTTCAGAAGCAGTTTTAACAAAAGATTTGGGGATAAGACATTCCACTCACACTAACACTTCCATGTATTAATCAAAGCATCTGATCTTAAGACAAGGAAATTGCCTTCCTGAAAACTGTCTGCCACCTAATGAGAAGTACCTAGAAGATTTGCCACACATACACAGCCAAACGGTGGGATTATGGTTTCTACTTGAGCTAATGATCTATACACATACACAAGCCTGTCACTGCTTTTGGTACTACAAAGACCAAAGCAAAGAGGGAAGACAATCATAGCTGATGGATAAGAAAAGAGATTATTGAAGCAAACAAAAATGCTATTACTGCTGGTTTGAATTCCAAGAAAAGAGTTAACATGTTGATTAACAATTGATTATCACTATTTATCATTAACACTGTGTAATCACTGTGGTGTAACTAGATGTCCAAACCCACATATATCAGAGCATCCACTCAGGTCAGGGGGAGTCCTCAAGAATCACTGCACCAAAACAGGGAACACAGACTAGAACGGAAATATATACTATAATGTTTTCTAGACAAAACTAACATTATAAACATAGCTGTCAGTAATGACCATCATCCCAACATGGCAAGCCATAGCACAGATCATCCTTGAAACTTATTAAAAAAGGAACGCAAACTTAAATTCACCACCAGCAACATAGTTAACTGCTTCATTGTATTTTTTCAAAATTGATTGGAAGGTCCTAGCAAATAGAAAGCTTTCTCCTCCCCAGCATCAGTGCCCTAGGCCAATCTGCTGAAATGGTCCAAGAGAGGAAAGTCTCATCCACAGCAGTCTGGCAGGAATTCACTGAACTTCTGTTCATTTTCATAGATGGGTAATGCGGGTCAGGACCCAACTAGAAACCCAAAAGGCAGCAAAATCATTCCCCTATTATTTACAGTAAGGAGAAGGTGGATCACGCCAGATCATGTGATAATGCAAATAATCTGGATTATTATGAAATACGTTGGAGAAGAATGGGACAAAAACACCAGTGATTCTGTCTGGAGACAGTTCAGATTCAGTCACGTGAGCTCAGGTTCAGAACTGGCATAGTCATCTCTCCATAAGCAACACCTTCCTTACAAGCAAGATCTTGCATCCAAGGGTAACAGACAGTTGACTATGACTTCTGATTGACTGAGGACAAGTGTAATAAAGCTACTATTACACACTGCTATTAGTACCTACCACAGATACTAACTGCAATCCAGGAGCTGCTACAGAAAATGAGGCTTATGGTTTTCTTGTTTTTAGAAAAGTCTTCCTAAGAGGTAGTGACAAAGAACTGCCTAACTAATGATTGTTAGCCTTATTGATCATGATCCATGTACTTCTTGAGTGATGGTGGAAATACAGACAGACAAGCCAAAATTAAACGTAAACAAACCTGATATATTTGCCAGCCATGGAAAAAACCTCTAGAATTTGCCATTATAGTAAATAGGGTCTTTCTACCCAGCAGCTTCAAAATAACTACAAAAGATGAAAAACTATTTTTATCCCCACTTGACCAACAGGGAAAACAAAAATGGAAAAAGAAAGGGGCCTGGCTTTCAGATGTGGTTTTGATTTGCTGCTTTCCACCCTCCCTTTCAGGTTCACTGAATACACAACACTAAAGGAATTCTAAAAATCAGACTATAAATTATTTGGCTGAAAATAGCTCAGCCAATGTGACAGAATTTGATTTAAAACAGTGGTCGTCAATTGCCAAATCAAGTGCCTTACTCACTAGACAAAGACCCTGTCATTTCAACAGACTTAAGAATATAAAGTCTCGATAATACTCAGTAAAAACAATTGAGTTTCTGACATCTTACAATTTTAACTACATCCTATATTCTGCTAGTCCTTTGTGGCACAGCAGCTAGACGATCTTAAACCCACTCTCCCTGCTACATCTGCCCCTGTATCACAGTATTAACTGCCCTTTATGTCACACTGTCTGCTTGGTTAACTCAGGTTAAAACTGAGACTAAGTGTTCCCTATACACCCTTAGTCTGAAGTTTACTGCACCTTTCAAGTCTTGCAGCCTTGAATGCTTATCCAATTTTGCCAGCTATTCCAGTCAGAAAAGATACCCCCATCTCCCTCCAGATCTGCCCTCATTTTTATTCTTAAATCAACAGCACTGCACCAGCAGTACGGCTACAGGATTAGACACAACCATTCGGATCGACAGCCCTTCCCATAGCTCAACTGCAGCTGCAAAGAAGGGCATCGCAGTTACAGACTTTACACATTTCCTTGCACCAACCCTTTACTAACTGCCAGAAGAAAGGCAGCAGCCAACATGCCTCCTTGTTTTGGTATTCCCCAGTTGTCAGGAAAAAGCCTTTAGGACACCAACATCATTTCAGGACTTATAAGGAGATTTTGACTTAAAGGCTGCTCTCACTTTCACTACGGGCTACAGCAGGCCCAAGCCAACTCTAGGGATCTGGAGAATGAGAAGTAACTCGCATGTGTCCCAAAACTGCTAGACTCCCAAGGGAAGTCTGTTAAAATGGCCCTGATTCACGCTTTGTCAGCAGAACTGCTCTGAGTCATAGTCTGGGTGGGGTTTTTCTTTCATTGGAAGAAAAAAGGAGAAAATCAGGACTGAAAAAGGAATTAATTGAGTTTAAAGAATGAAATAAATTCACCTGTATCGATGTTTATAACCTATGGATCCAAATTTGCTGAATTTTCTTGACAGAGAGTTTGATTCATTCTCTGGCACTCTATGTAATTTGAAAAATAAAACAACAGAGTAAGTTACATAGATAGGTCTCAATTACAGTCCCCTTCCCAAGAAAAGAAAAGAGAAATACAAAGTTTAGGTTAAAATTCTTTTTTTTTCTGGTAGTTCCTTTTCGTCCCTACCTCCACGCAGACTCTTACGGGGTTGAGAGCTCCACAAAGCCATGTTTACGCTCACCTCTTTTGACTACACACCTCTTTATTTCAGGCTCTACTGTAAACTGCTGGCAACAGCAGCCTTTCACTTAATATTTCACAGAAGCAGGCAAAACCACCACGCCACAGTAATGAGACTGCAGAAGAGATTCTCAGCTTACGCATTTGCAGCACTGCTAAAGCCAGCCCCAAGCATCCCATTGACCAGTTCCTAGCTAGACACTCTTGTACATTTCTGTTAGTGGTTTTGCAATAGTAAAATAAAGTGTTTTGCGATGTGTAATACTGGAAACATGTTATACACTTCAGTAAGTAAGCAAAACATTATGGAAATTCAATGAGTCTTTCTATCAAAACCCAAGATTTCTGTGCATTGTAGGAAACCGTAATGTCTGAAATCTAAAGTCAAGTCAAAGCTGCTACAGAAAATTTGATGGTTAAATACATAAAAATGTACATGGCAGCTTAAATCCTGTCATATACATTTGCGGATACTTCTGTTAAAGCCTACTTTATGCAACTTGAGATGCTGTTTTGAAAATAATTCTAAGACAAAAGAAACCACAAAATTACCAAATTTAAAAATTATTGTTTCACATCATTGTACGAAAAGGGAAGGCATGAGCTTTTAAAAGCATTCTACAACCGAGAGCAAAAATGTGTTTCCAGGCAGCAAACCTGCGTTACACCACTCTGTTTCTTAATACCTCCTTTTGGTAATGAAACCACAGCTTCTGCATCACTCACCTGAAAAACGTATGATGTTCTACACAGCATTTCCAGAGATGTTTGCACGTGATCTTATCACGCGCTTCAAAAAAGAAAGAAGTTTCATTGCACTGAAAACAAAACAAAACAAATCAATATGGTTATGAGGGATTCTGCCAGTGAAGTGAATCTTCATTTACTGAACACAAGAACCAAACATCTCATATCCATACACATAAGAAAATATATCAGTACGAAGAAAAGCAGGCTCTATAATTCTGTATAATTCTTCATTTAAAACAAATTTTCTTTTGGGTTTCTCATTGCCTGAAAATACTTACTTAAAGAATCAATTCCTTAGATACAGAAAAACAGAAGAGAAAGACTATTGAAACACTTCTGTTCCTTCACTCTTGTTCGTAGATATCAGCTTTTTTCCTAACTAAAAAGCCCAAGGTTTTCTCCAAATAGTACATTTCTGATGTCTTCTCAAACTGCACCTCAGATGTCAAGCAAAAATATACCCCTAAAGGTCTGTTTAACAGTATACAAAAAGGCAAGAATAAGTGAAAGAAACTCATGATTTGTGATAAACTAATATGAAGCAACAACACAGACAGAAAATGCACAAAACATACATGTAGAGAAGAACCAAGGTAAAACTGGAAATAAAAGAGATAAGAGGAAGGAAAGATTTATAAAAAAAAAATTAGCTAACTTCAGAATATTTCAAAATACTAGGAAAAAGGTCAAAGGTAAAAGCCACAAAACCCACCTTAAAATCTCTTAAGGAAGACAACAAAAGAGAATACACAAAGCTTAAAACCTGATCACTGGAAACTGGCAGTCAGTACAGGAGACATGAGAAAAAGGTCAGGAAGAGATGACAGAGAAGTCAAACATATACAAACTATAAAATACATCCAACAGACAAGAAGAAGCAACTGACACATCTCACTGCTTTGCTTCCAATAAGCTAGACATTCAAATACGTTCACATAAAATACATTTCCATTTATCCGTCACTCAGTAAACTTAAGTGCTCAGTTTTGTTTCTGTGATTTGCATGAAGAATGAGTATTCCCACTGACTTCAGTGTGAATCCTCAGCAAGGTATGATACCATCTGTAACAAAGCTGAGTCCTAAAACTATTTCTCCAATATGTGAATTACAAAGGGGGTCTGATTCACACCACTTTCAGCTGCTGATTTTAGGAAATGGATGCCCATGTGTTAGTTATACTTCGGCAGCGCCATGCGTATGTAGGTAAAGAGTTCGGCAAGTTTCGCACACTCTTCATTTAATGAGGTATGGTGACCTGCAAGCACCTTGCAAACTGTGAACTAATTCAGTATGTTCACTAGAATTCAAAATTTTATCTGTAACAAAATTCTATTTGTTCTCTATTAACGGCTGTCAGGCAGCCTTACAAAATCACACATTACCTGCTCAAGCAGCTCTTCCTCCACCTTGAAACAAATGTAAAAATGATAGAATTTTGCACCTATGGTTAGAATAACTGAGATTTCACCACCACCACCACCCCCAAAAAAAAATAAAAAAATAATTGGAGACATATACATAGACTTATTTTCTCCCATGGATTATTTTAGTTAGTTTAATGGCTGGCTGGAACAGTCCCATGGAATATCCAAGGAATGAAAATCATCCTCCAGTCTTCTCTCAAAAGCACGTTTTCCTCTCTAGGGCATCACAGCAAGAAAGAGGAGTACAATAACACATACAGCCACTGAGAATGCTGAAAAGCAGGATTTATCTGAGATTACTATGCATAGCATAAAATGATTATATAGTAGATCAGTCCCATAAATATATTCCTACAGTTCCTTAAAATACAATTTCAGGTTTGATAGGGATCTTCATCTCTCTGCAGGATTCACAAGGGGTTTAACTTGGAGCAAAAATATATTTAATTTATAAAAAGTAAAAGCAGAAACTTAAAAACTGAAGCTCTTCTAAACCAGAAAAAAAATCTAGGTAACCGGGGAAAAAAGAAAAAAAAAAGCTTCCTGGAGAATCTTTAAGATCGTCAAGGAGAAAAATCTATTTACACTAGAATTTTCATATTACTCTTGCTCCTCTGGCATACAGAAACAAGTCTATCCACTGAAAGATCATACTACATTTTCACATTTTTAAAGTTTTAAAGAAGACATGTCAAGGGGTAATTTTCATTTGCTTATTTTATACATAACAGAAATGTAGTTTCAGATTTTATGATTTAATTTACATTACAATTTCTAGATCAGACTGTCATCTGATGTGATTTCATATAAACTCACACAACCATAGTCACAAGTGCACTTCCATAGAATAGTATCAGATCAGGCCTGTGGTATTGCAAACTTTATGCAATACGATGAGTCAATCTAACTTCTGTTAGGAAAGAACTCACTGACTCACTTTTAATATGCAGGATCTTGCTCTTTCTTTGTCCACTCCTACATAGTACTTTTAGGCAAAGAATCCTCTGCTGCACTTAAATTTATTTAATCACATAATCTTGGAGGAGAAAGTTTGTGGGTTGGGGGAAGGGAAGGGTGGAGAGAAGCCAGGAGTGTTTAGGGGTTTTTTTAAGAACTTTTTTTTAATATAAGGTATTTCTGCTGTATCTTATTATTAGCCCAGTTCAAATGCCACTGGAATTCAGTGAAAGATTCCTAACAGGGAAAAGATTCTACTTGTCCATTTTTTCTTCTTTTTTAAGTTAAAGTTTTAGAATTTTCCCATATACAGAACAAATGGCACACGAAAATCAGTAAGCGACTAAAAGAGGGACAGTACTGCTACATTGTCATATGATTGAAAGATCTGACCAGCAAACATTACTGATTCCACCATTTGAAGGTATTATTTTCTAAGGTGGAAGAAAGCTCAGCTAGTAAGAAAAAAATTTTGATGATTAACTACATGCTGAAACATCTATACTTGGTACGCAGCCATCAAAGGCACTCAAGGAAAAACAGCATAGCCCTATAGATCAAAATTATCAACAAGTTACGGAATTCAGATCTGGAAAATGAAACAAATGCCTAAAAATCAGAGGATGGACCAACAAGCTTTCTGACAACACACAGAGGTTTGTTTATTTATTTGAATTTGAAGGAAAAGTACACGTGTAAAAACTATTGCCTCAGAATGGATGCTTGTAGTAAGTCAAATAGCACACTTAATTTTATCAAAGAGAGAGAAAGCAAGCCTAAAACATTAATCTCTAAGGTCTTTCACCAACACAGAGAAGACAATTCATAACTCTTTTACCATTTTTCACCTTTTCTGCAAAGGATTCAGTAACTTACTGCAATTAAGTCCAGTGTGACACTGCATACAGCATATCTAGGTTTAGGACTTAGTCCATTTACTTTTTAAGACCTTTTCAGGCTTGCAAGCGTACAGTGATTACCCTCACAATTTATAAAAGCATATATAAAAATTAAGCAGTACTGAAGGCAGTAATATCTTCCAGGTTTAATCTTTCTCCTCTAAGGGAATAAACTGATTTGTATAGGTAAAGCAAGGATGACCTTACCTGTTGACACCATGAACTTTTGTTTCCAATAAAAGACAACATTTTTAGCATCTTGAGTAATTGTAATTTCTTACAGGTAGTGACAGTCAGCTGGGTTTTTGTCTTATTAATCTCATATATCTGAACCAAAAGAAATAAAGACCTATTGTACTTTTAACTAATGATTTATAGGAAATGACATTTCCAAACTCATTCAGTGTTGTTTAGTACCTCACAAGCTACTCCCTGCTACTCATCCTGTTGCTTTCAGAATGCCCAGTGTAGTAAAGGTGAGGCATCATAAACTATGAAGGTTCACTGCTTCCAGAGCAGTCCTGGTCATTCGCATGCTGTCACGATCTCCCCTCTTCTTGAACCAGCTTTGCCAATTGTCTGTTCTTTCAGGAAGCCAGTTGTGCTCATCAAACAAGCAGAATTATTTTTGATCACATCTGTGACTTACGTCGGGACAGGGGGGAGCAGAACAACATGGCCAGAGGCTGCAAAAGGATGGGCATAACCCTTGCAGCTGTATCTACTTGTTGAGTTGTTAACTACCTTCTAATCCTGAAAAAAGGCAAGACACTAAAAAACTCTGAGGAAAAATATAAAATATTCTTCTCCTTTTAAATGCTTTAAAAGCTTGCCCTGAAGTCTCCAAAACATGCTAAAGCTCATACTGCCATAGCCTCACCACCATTTTTACCCCTGAGAGAAGAGATAGGCTAGCACAGGGGATGCAGACAGCTTGACTATACTACAAGCTTATAAATAGACGGGCACTCAGACATGTAGCCACAGCCCTTATCTCTTTTGTGCTGCCTCTCAAATCAGCCAGAAGACTCATCTGGCAGGGCCTTTGAGATGTCCGTTAAACAGTTGGTAACCGGTACAGCACTCTACCATAACCTGCTCCCACTAAGAGCATATTACTCTACACTAAAAGCATATTACTAATGCCTTCAAAGGAGACAAGTCAGAGGGATCATTGCTCTACCCAACCACAACATGCCTCTGGAACTGCTAGAGCTGACATACCAGTTCAGGAGTGCCCACACTGCCCTTTGGACACCGCTCCCAGCTTGCTCTGCCACGCCAGCGTGACTACACAGCTTTCAAGCTCAGAGCTGCCTTGTGCCCAGGGGTAGCTCAAGTCCACCTGGAAGGGAAGTCACACACATAAAATGACAGTTCTTCCCTCTGCGGGCCAGAAGATCCCTTGTTGGTGAAGTTCGTGGACTACTTCAGAGATAAGAGGGCCACTGTCAGCAGATTTACAGCGTTCCATGGAGCACTGCACCCGTCCACAGATCAAAAATGTTTTGAAAACCTATGATTCAGAGCAGGCTTTAGCTGCTATAATTTATGACAAGACATACATTGGTTCCCACCAATCCAGGCTCAGAAAATGAAGACAAAGAAAAACCCAAACCTAAAACCACAGTAGGAACCCTGCCAGCACACACACCACTCTTCCTAGTCCCACTGGATACTGACATAGCACAAGGAGGGATCTTCCCCCATTACAGAGCACTCTGCATGTACATGTAATACACGTGCATGTACATGTAACAGAAATATTAACACTCGCTCTG